ATTGCACCAAAAATCATAAGATACCTAGGAATAAACCTAACCAAAGACGTAAAAAAACTGTACTCTGAAAACTATAAAAAAAACACCGATGAAAGAGAAGACAATACAAAGAAATGGAAAGACATTTCATGCTCTTGGATTGAAAGAACAAGGGATATTAAAATGTCTATGCTACCCAAAGCAATCTACATGTTTGATGCAATCCCTATCAAAATACCAAAAGCATTTTTCACAGAGCTAGAACAAATAATCCTAAAAGTTGCATAGAACCACAAAAAACCCTGAATAGCCAAAGCAACCTGGAAAAAAGCAAAGCAAATCTAGAGGTATCACAATTCCAGACTTCAAGTTATATTACAAAGCTATAGTCATCAAGACAGTATGGTAACTGGCAAACACACACACACACACACACACACACACACACACACACACACACACAGAGAGAGAGAGAGATCAATAGAACAGAGTAGAAAACCCAGAAATAAACCGACAACTATATGGTCAACTACTCTTCAACAAAGCAGGAAAGAATTTCCCCACTGGGAAAAAAAGATAGTCTCTTCAACAAATGGTGCTGGGAATACTGGACAGCAACATGCAAAAGAAAGACACCTGACCACTTTCTTACACCACACACAAAAATAAATTCAAAATGGATAAAAGACCTAAGTATGAGACAGGAAACTATTACAGTCCTAGAGGAGAGCACGGGCAGTAATTTCTCTGACATAGGCTATAGCAACATTTTTCTAGATCTGTCTCCTGAGGTAAGGAAAACAAAAGCAAAAATAAACTATTGGGACATCATCAAAATAAAAAGCTTCGGCATAGAGAAGGAGACAATCAGCAAAACTGAAAGGCAGCCTATGGGATGGGAGAATATTTTGCAAATGACATACTCAATAAAGAGTTGTATCCAAAATATACGAAGAGCTTATACAACTCAACACCCAAAAACAAATAATCCAGTTTAAAAATTGGCAGAAGACATGAATAGACACTTTCCCAAAGAAAGCATACGAATCGCCAACAGACACATGAAAAGATGCTCAATATCAGCATCAGGGAAATACAAATGATAATTACAATGAGATGTCACCTCAGACCAGTCACAAGGGCTAAAACTAACAACACAGGAAGCAACAGGTGTTGCTGAGGATGCAGAGAATAGGGAACTCTCTTGCACTGTTGGTGTGAATGCAAACTGTTGCAACCACTCTGGAAAACAGTGTGAAGTTTCCTCAAAAAGTTAAAAATGGAAATACCCTATTCAGCAATTGCACTACTAGACATTTGCCCCCCCAAAAAAATATTAATCCAAAGGATACATGCACCCCTATTTTTATAGCAGTATTATTTATCACTGCCAAATTACAGAAACAGCCGTGTCCATTGGCTGATGATGGGTAAAGAAGATGTGGTGTGTAAATACATGTATATTTATTTATATATTTATTTATAATTAAATAATATTATTATCTTATATATTTACAATGAAATATTACATTACAATGGAATACTACATTATGATGAAATATTACTTAGCCTTCAAAAAGAATGAAATTCTGTCATTTACAGTGACACGGATGGAGAGTATTATGCTAAGCAAAGTAAGTCGGAGAAAGACAAAAACCATATGATTTCATTCATATTGCGATTTATTTTTTTTTGAAGATTTTATTTATTTGAGTGAGACAGAGTGAGTAAGAGTGAGCCTGCATGCATGTGAGCAGGGAAGAGGAAGGGGGAGAAGCAGACTCATCACAGAGCAGGGAGCCCAATGGGAGGCTCAGTCCTGGAACTCCAGGACCATGACCTGAGCCAAAGGCAGATGCTTAACCAACTGAGCCACCCAGGGATCCCTCATATGTACAATTTAAAAAACAAAACAAACAGACATGGGGAAAAAGTATAGTGAAAGGTGAAACAAGAAGCAGACTTTTTATTTTTTTTTAAGATTTTATTTATTTATTTATTCATGAGAGACACAGAGAGAGAGAGGCAGAGACACAGGCAGAAGCAGAAGGAGGCTCCATGCAGGGAGCCTGATGTGGGACTCCAAGATCATGCCCTGGACCAAAGACAGAAACTAAACTGCTGAGCCACGCAGGGATCCCCGAAACAGACTTTTTAAAAAAAGATTTTATTTATTCATTTATTTATTTAACAGAGAGAGAGAAAAAAAAAACACAAGCAAGGGAAGAGGCAGGCAGAAGGAGGGAGAATCAGGCTCCCTGAGGAGCAAGGAACTGGATGTGGGTCTCAATCCCAGGACCCTGGGATCATGAACTGAGCTGAAGGTAGATGCTTAACCCACTGCCACCCAGGTGCCCCAAGAAACAGACTCTGAAGAATAGAGAGTAAACTCTTGGTCACAAGGGGGATGGGTTAAGCAAGTGATAGGGATTAAGGAGTATGCTTATTGTGATGAGCACCAGATGTTGTAAGGAAGTGTTGCATCACTAAGTTCTACATCTGAAACTAATATTACACTGTATGCTAACTAACTGGAATTTATATAAAAACTTAAAAATAAAAGAAATAGTGAAGGATTCCAAAAACCTAATAGTTAGTGATTACATATAGAGGACAAGGTAGGGATGTGGTTATAAAGAATTAGATGGGCATATGTGAAAGTAAGATTTCTAAATGTATAATTTTTAAAAATCTTTGAACCAAATGAATGTAGCACTTATTCAAAAAATAACTAAATTAAAATTTTAAATATTTTGCCATCCGATCCAGGTAGCTGTTCCTAAGCTAACCTAGTTCTCTTTTCTCATTCAAAAATTTTTAGAGTTGTTTCATTGCTGTGTTTATTTCCTTACCTCTCACTCATCAGTCTAGTTTCTGCCCCCATAATAAAAACAAATTGCTCTTACCTAATGCCTCCAGTAACCTCCATATTGCTAAATATGATAAACATTGTTCAGTCTTTCTCTTACATAATCTCTTCCCAACATTTGACAAACTATTTCCCTTCCAGGGATGCCTGAGTGGCTCAGTGGTTGAGTCCCTGCTTTTGGCTCGGGTCGTGATACCAGCGTCCTGGGATCAAGTCCCACATCAGGCTCCCCCTCTGCCTATGTCTCTGCCTCTCTCTCTCTCTGTGTCTCTCATGAATAAATAAGCTAGAAAAAAAAAAAACCAAACTACCTCCCTTCTAACACATCCTCTTCCTTTGACTTTAATGTCTCCATACAACCCTAGTTTTCCTCCCATCTCTCTGAATGCCCTTACCTCTCCTCTCCTTCTGCCTCCCCCTTTTTTCCCTCCTTTACCCAAATGTTATATATTGGATTTCCTCAAAACTTCCTTGTAAACCTCTTCTATATCTCTAAGGAACTTCGCTCAGAACTACAGACTCAGTTGATAATTGTGTTCTCCACAGTCCTATTTCCAAACCCCTTCGGAACTGAGGTGTTCTGTTCCTGGCAGCTCCCTCTGGGCAAGGGCAATGTCTAGAGGCAGACTCATCTGTTGACCTCGCTGCCAAAATTTCTGGCAGCTGTAGAAGGGAAGTCTGGAGGAAGCACCATAGCATCCACTGTGAATATATGTATTGTGAAGATTATCTCCCAGTATGTGATTTGCCTTTTCATTTTCTTTTCACTGCCTTAAAATGATTTTATGAAGTAAAACTGATTTTTCTTTTAAGTTAAATTGTTTTTTCAGCAAAGATTCTACCTATTTTCTATTGTGAAAAGTACTGCTATGAACATGAGTGTGCAAATATCTCTTTGAAACCCTGCTTTCAATTTTTATGGATATATACCCAGAAGTGGGATTGCTGGATCATATAGTAGTTCTATTTTAAATTTTTTGAGGAACTCCCTATTGTTTTCCATAGTGAACTGTTTTACAATCCCACCAACAGTGTGCAAGGATTCCAATTTCCCCATATCCTCTCCAACTCTGGTTATTTTCTGTTATTTTTTTTTATAGCAGCCATCCTACTGGGTATGAGGTTATTTAGTGCTTTCTATGTCTTCTTTAAGAAATATTTGTCTATTCCAAGGTTGAAAATATATGCTTTCACACTTAAAATTTTGGCCTTTACATTTAAGTCTATGATACATCTCAAATTAATTTTAGTGTGTGGTATGGGGTATAGGTCAAGGCTCATTCTTTTCAGTTGGATATCCAGTTATTCTGACACTATTTGTTGAAAAGAAAACTTTCCATTCTACATTGAATTTTCTTGGCACCTTGGTGAGTTTCTTTCAATGCTGGTTTTAAGAAGCATCCCAACTTCAGACGTGTCAAGCAGTGGAGAAACAAGTATATCTTAGAACTGAGAAAATAGGAGCTTCTTTACGATTCCTGCAGCACCTCGCAGTTTATGTGGGTCACGCACAGTGAGTGGCATTAGAGCTTTGGATTCAGACATATCTGGATTCAGACCCAAGTCTATATGGCCTTGAATAATTTACCTAACCTATTTTGCCTCTGTTCTCTTATATACACAGTGAGGATTCAATGTTATAACAAGAAATTAAACTATGCAAAATGCCTGGTGTTGCCATTTGATAAGTATCCTTTTCTTCTCATTTTTTCATTTTTCCAGTAAATACTTGTTATCTTCATTGGACTCAGTGGTTTGGAATGTGGAAGAAATTTCTGTTTAAATTCCTTTGTAGTTTTTCAAAAAGACTTACAAGTTGATTTCAAGTCTCTTCGCCCTTAGCAAGGTATGTACCATCTAGTACTAATCTTGTTTTTCTCTGATTCTCCTTTTGCAAATTCTTGAGAGAGTGGTTTGGAAATTATTTGGGAATTTCGTCATGCTAAGGAGATATTTAGTAATAATATTATGAGATCATCAGAGATCAGGAATCCTTCAGTTTCAGCTAGACTAAAGTAGAGCTTCCCAACTTTAAGGGGCACGCAATTTGCCTGAGAATCTTATTATGCTCCATATTCTGATTCAAGAGATCTGAAGTGGAGTCTGGTATTCTGCATTTTTAACAGGATCCCAGGACAGGCCACAGCTTCTGGTGTACAGACCACATTTTCAGTAAGTAGGGGCTAGAGGCTTTAGTTCTCTAGGGGAAAACAATTGAAACTCTGAAGTTCATGAATAAATAATGTTTCCCTTGGCTGAAGGTGCTTTGTTTACATTGAATTTTTACCTTACACCTGCAAGCATTTTAAAAAATATTTTATTTATTTATTCATAAGAAACACACAGAGAGAGGCAGAGACAGGCAGAGGAGAAACAGGCTCCCTGTGGGGAGCCTGATGGAGGACAGGATCCCAGGACCCCAGGATCACGACCTAAGCCAAAAGCAGATGCTCAACCACTGAGCCATCCAGGTGCCCCTACAAGTATTTGTATAAGGTGAAGCATAAGTAGCCTGAGCACAAATATTTTCTGTCTTAGGAACTCTGAATTTAAATCAGACAATGTAGTTTCATACCCCAGCTTCCCCACTCTCAATCCATTGTGACCTTTGGCAAGTTGCTAAACCTCTCCCAATCCTCTCACAGGTTAGTTGTAAAGATCAAATGAAACTATACAAATACACTTGGCCCAGCTTCTGACTTGTATGTAGCATTTATTAAGTATTTCTTAAGTATCAATTTTCTTAGCAACTCCTGCCAGATTAATTCACTAAGTGAAAATAGAGTGCTAGCTAGATCCAGATGTAGGTTCAAGTCCTTACTATGCCCCCTATGTAGCAGTATAGTCATTAGACACTTGGGAACCCAACGTCTCTTAGGCATCAAAAAAGACTTGATTGGATGTTATCTTACAGGCCCAAGAGTCCTCACACTCTAATGATCCATGTGGTTCTCAAGTACCACTTCTCTATAAGGTAGAGGCATGAAACATGAAAAGAAACTGTCTCTTTAGTCAGTTGGCTGAACTGACATAGCAAGCCAGGAAATGGGGAAGAAAGACAAAGAGAGAAAAAGGAAGGATCCTGAAGTAGTGCTGGGTTCTCTCAGCTCATGACAGCTTTCAGCAGTGAGACCTAGCTCGGGAGGCATGCCCTCCAGAGATGCCTTATCTGTTCCAATGATGTTTACACCCCTTACCTACCACATACCATTAGGCCATAGGAGTGTAGGAGGGCAGAGAGGTACCTGAAATCTGACAAGTCAGGCATTGAGGTTTGCTCAGAGTCCTGCCACCTGTCTCCCCAGGCACACAAAAATAACGTCAAAAATGGCCTTACAATTTCAAGTTGTACTACAAAGCTGTGGTCATCAAGACAGTGTGGTACTGGCACAAAAACAGACACATAGATCAATGGAACAGAATAGAGAATCCAGAAGTAGACCCTCAACTTTATGGTAAACTAATATTCAACGAAGCAGGAAAGACTATCCACTGGAAAAAGGACAGTCTCCTTAAAAAATGGTGCTGAGAAAATTGGACAGCCACATGCAGAAGAATGAAACTAGACCATTTTCTTACACCACACACAAAGATAAACTCAAAATGGATGAAAGATCTATATGTGAGACAAGAATCCACCAAAGTCCTGGAGGAGAACGCAGGCAACATCCTTTCTGAACTTGGCCACGGCAACTTCTTGCAAGACACATCTCTACAGGCAAGGGAAACAAAAGCAAAAATGAACTACTGGGAATTAATCAAGATAAAAAGCTTCCACACAGCAAAAGAAACAGTCAACAAAACTAAAAGACAACCTACAGAATGGGAGAAGATATTTGAAAATGACATATCAGATAAAAGGCTAGTATCCAAGATCTATAAAGAACTTAATAAACTCAGCAGCAAAGAAACAAACAATCCAATCATGAATTGGGCAAAAGACATGAACAGAAATTTCGCCAAAGAAGACATACACACGGCCAAGAAGCATGAGAAAATGCTCCGCATCACTGGCCATCAGGGAAATACAAATCAAAACCATAATGAGATACCACCTCACACCAGTGAGAATGGTGAAAATTAACAAGACAGAAAACAACAAATGTTGGAGAGGATGTGGAGAAAGGGGAACCCTCTTGCACTGTTGGTTGGAATGTGAACTGATACAGCCACTCTGGAAAACTATGTGGAGGTTCCTCAGAGTTAAAAATAGACCTGCCCTACGACCCAGCAATTGCATTACTGGGGATTTACCCCAAAGATACAGATGCAGTGAAAAACTGAGACACCTGCACCCCAATTTTTATAGCAGCAATGTCCACAATAGCCGAACTGTGGAAGGAGCCCCAGTGTCCATCGAAATGAATGATAAACAAGATGTGGTCTAAATATACAATGGAATATTATTCAGCCATTAGAAATGAAGAATACCCACCATGTACTTCGACATGGATAGAACTGGAGGGTATTATGCTGAGTGAAGTAAGTCAGTCAGAGAAGAACATTATATGGTTTCATTCATTCAGGGAATATAAAAATAGTGAAAGGGACTAAAGGGGAAAGGAGAGAAAATGAGTGGGAAATATCAGTGAGGGTGACAGAACATGAGAGACTCCTAACTCTGGGAAATGAACAAGGGGTAGTGGAAGGGGAGGTGGGCGGGAGGATGGGGTGACTGGGTGACGGGCACTGAGGGGGCACTTGACAGGATGAGTACTAGGTGTTATGCTATATGTTGGCAAATCGAACTCTAATAAAAAACATACAAAAAAAACAATAGAAAAACAAAAATAGCCTTACAAATCTCCAACACAAAACTTGAACTTTAAGGATAAAGAAACTCAAGCAATGTTGATAAAACTAAAGGATAAGATAGAGCTCTCAACTGCATTTCAAGTTCAGTATATTTTGCATGTACAAGAAGACTTCTGATGCTAAGTAAGCAGAGATTAAAGACATATGAATAAATTAAACCACTGTAACCAAATATATGTATGCATATATATAATATATAATGTATATATATTATATATATAAATGGCAATAGGCTAAAATCTTAATATAGATCACCTCCTTTCAATGTAAAATAATCTCTGGGGGCACCTGGGTGGCTCAATCAGTTAAATATCTGCCTTTGGCTCAGGTCATGATCTCAGGGTCCTGGGAATGGAGCCCTACATCCTGCTCCCTGCTCAGAGGGAAACCTGTTTCTCTCTCGCGCTCTGCCCCTCCCCATGTTTGTGCTCTCTCTCTCTTGCTCTCTCTCTCTGTCAAATAAATAAAATCTTTAAAAAACAAACAACCTCTGCAGTAGCTATTATTATCTACAATATGTGGATGGGGACCCTGGGCCCTAGAGAAGTTAAGCAATTTACCCAAAGATCATAGTTAGTGGGCTGCTATTACTTCAACCAAGGCAGTCTATCTAATTCCTGCTCCATCTTTCCTAATCATTATACTATACTGCTGTACTCTGTGGAGCTAGCTGAGATTTACTCAGTTTCAAGGTCTTCAGTCCAGATTATGTGGGGTTAAATTCCTGAGAGAATATGCAAAAGATTCTAAGCTACCTGAATAGCTCAGTGTGACATCAGATTATGAGCAGGATAAAGAAGTATTATCTTAACCTAGTAATGATAGCCACATGCCAACATGCATGACAAAGCTCACTTAAATTTTCAAAATACAGGTATATAAGGATTATTTTAGGTGAAGAAACAGAATCAAAGAGGCTAAGTAATTTATCCATATGAAGGATTCACAGCATTTGGGTTGTAAGAAATAAGAAACTTCACTCAAATGGTCTTAAAGAATAAGGAAATATATTATCCCATTATTAGTCTAGAGATAGACTATAGGGTCAGCACAGCATCATGGGTGGAGATGGGGAAGATGATGAGGAGAACAAAGGCAGAAGTGTAGCTTAAATTTAATCTTTCAACTTGCAGCTCACTTGAGAAATACCCAAGACATGCAGAGCAGGACATTCCTCGGGGAGCTCATGGCTGCCTTAGAGTTGATGTTCTATTAGAGACTAAACAACCTTTTGACAATAACCACACCTCCAAGGTCCTGAAACCTCACTTTCAGCATAGGAAAATTCCTTAGAAACTGAAGTTATCTCTATCGCTCTTCCTCCACAAATTTATAAGTATATAATCAGTCACTCCCCACAATCACCAGTGCAGCTCTGTCTCCCCATGGATCTTGTCCCCATGCTATCATAAAAACACCTTTTTGTTCAGCCATTAGAAATGAGATATACCCACCATTTGCTTCAACGTGGATGGAACTGGAGGGTATTAGGCTGAGTGAAATAAGTCAATCGGAGAAGGACAAACATTATATGGTCTCATTCATTTGGGGAATATAAAAAATAGTGAAAGGGAATAAAGGGGAAAGGAGAGAAAATGAGTGGAAATATCAGTGAGGGTGACAAAACATGAGAGACACCTAACTCTGGGAAACGAACAGGGGTAGTGGAAAGGGACGTGGGCGGTGGGTTGGGGTGACTGGGTGACGGGCACTGAGGTGGGCACTTGATGGGCTGAGCACTGGGGGTTATGCTATATGTTGCCAAATTAAACTCCATATATATATATATGTATATATATATATATATATATATATATATATATTTTTAGACACCTTTTTGCACTGAAGACATCTCATGAATTCTTTTCTGACCATTCACTCTTGGATCCAAACTTCAAATCACATCATTTGACATCCAATGTGGGACTCGAGTCTTCTCTTACAGGCCCAAGAGTCCTCACACTCTAATGGTCCATGTGGCTCTCAAGTACCACTTCTCTATAAGGTAGAGGCATGAAACATGAAAAGAAACTGTGTCTTCAGTCAGTTGGCTGAACTGACATAGCAAGCCAGGAGATGGGAAAGAAAAATAAAGAAAAAAGAAGGATCCTGAAGCAGCGCTGGTACATCTTCTGGGTTCTCTCAGCTCATGACAGCTTTCAGAAGTGAGCTTCCTTACAAACTTGGTGGGTACTTCCTCTTCCTTTACTCTCACAGCAGGGGCTTTTTCAAGTACTGTCTCATATTGGAACACTTTCATGTCAACTGCTCAGGCTGTTATCCTCTAACCTGTGGCTGCCCTACGGACAGGAGAAAGCCTTTTGACTGGAAGCTACTACCCTAGTCAGAATAGTAATAAGACCCAGAAACTTGATGCCTCCCTTTATTCCTATTCTTATACAAAGTTGTCTTTTTGGGCATGGGACAGCCACCTAAGTCACCAGGATGGCTGCCAATCTTAAGACTCCCGTGTGAAGTTTCATCCTCATTGGTCTCATGTGATCCCCTCTGTTTGTCTGGTCTAGTCGCTTCTGGCCATGACACCTCCACCAAGAGCCAGACAAAAGCAGTACCTGATTGAATTAAAACCTAACCAGGGACTGTTTCCTAGGAAAGTCAGCTGTAAGAGCTAAATGTGTTGAAATGTCATTTAGATCATGGTGGATTTCTATCTCTACTGTTTTCCATCAGTATCTCCTACTAACTACCTAAATTACAAAATTAGGTAATGTCCTCCTTGTAATACTATTTTTAGTGTTTTCAATGGGTTAAAAACAGCAGGTTCTTCATAGCATGGCACAGCAAAGCATTTTGGTCCATTGCCAGTGTTCATTTGGACTAGAATGCAATGAGGAAGGGAGCAGATGCTGGCATCCCTCCTACGAGGCAAGGTGTTGTTCATAGTGACTCACTTTGAGACCAGGAACCCCTGACATATCCTGCATGGGACGCCACCTTGGATTCAGGGGGGATTTTTGCTAATGGATCTTTTCTACTTTTCTAGGAACCTGAAATATTCTTCAGTCCCTAAGGATTCTTCCTTGGGATGCTTTTTAACTCACTGGAATCAATTTGGATTGCAAGATTTAAGAAAGAATAAACTGATCTTCTGTAACATTGCATGACCTCATTACTCATGAAATGAGGAAAAATGGTGCATTTATGGGACATTAAGCTTCAATATAATCTATCAGGCTAGATCTCTCCTGCAAAAAAAAAGGGGGGGTTGCAAATGGACTAAGGTACCTTATGTCTAGCCTTCATGGCCTTAAATCAAGACCCCAACCTAAGGCTTCTTACAGAATGTGTCCAACCACTAACCTGGTTAATAAACCCCCTCTGGACATATTGGATGATGACTGTCTAAATAGGCCCATTCCTATTAATAAACCTGGTCTACTGGAGTAATCACTGGCCAAGCTAAACAAAGATGATACTGGCTCTGTTACAACCTTCCTCCTTGTAAACCTCAAGACCCCTTTTCTCCCAGCCCAGTTAGGCATACTAGGAGTAGAACTCCTTATCTCCCAGGGGTTCCACCTAAATTTGGATTTTATCTTCTTAGGGAGGTTGCTAGTAGAGAAATGGGTACAATTAAAGTCCGTGTCCCATTCTCCATAGCAGACCTGGCTCAGATAAAACAACAATTAGAACAATATTCCAAAAACCCTCCTCAATTTATTGAGGGCTTTCAACAATTATCTATTATGTTTGATTTGACCTGGCAAGATATATACAACATATCAACTCATTGTTGCACCCTTGTGGAAAAGGGGCTCATCAAAAATTTGCTGATGAATCAACAGCCAGAGATAGAGGTTGTTATCTGATAGGAAGAACTGCTGTTCCCAATACTGAACCTCACTGAAATTACCAATAAGATAGGGAAGGGAAAGATGACACCATATGCTCACTTGTTTAATAGAAGGAATGAAAAAAGGATTCTCTAAACCTGTAAACTTTGATAAAATTCAGGAAGTTTCTCAAGGAGCTGATGAAAATTCAGCTCTATTTCAGGGTCATTTGATAGGAGCCACCTTTGAAAGTATACAAATCTGGGATCCCTGGGTGGCTCAGTGGTTTAGCGCCTGCCTTTGGCCCAGGGAGTGATCCTGGAGACCCGGGATCGAATCCCACATCAGGCTCCCGGTGCATGGAGCCTGCTTCTCCCTCTGCCTATGTCTCTTCCTCTCTTTCTCTCTCTCTTTCTCTCTCTCTGTGTGTGTGACTATCATAAATAAATAAAAATTAAAAAAAAAGAAAGTATACAAATCTGGACCCAATCTCACCCAAGGGAACAATCACACTAAACATCATTTTATAAGTCAGTCAGCACCTGACAGCCGCCAAAAACTGACTAAAATGGCTCCAGGACCTCAAACCCCCACCCAGTACCTACTAGAAGTAGCTACTGGAGTCTTTAATGATAGAGTTGTGGCCTTAAGTCAGGAAAAGAATCAAGAGCTAAATAAATCTCAGGGTAAAATACAGGCTTAAATATCAGCTGGCACTATTGCAGATTCCCCACCACACTAGAATAATCAGGCACCCAAAAAAAGCCAGTATCAAAGGACCAGGTAAGACCCCATGCTATGGGTGTGGCCAAATCAGACATTGAAGCAAAGAATGTCCAGACAAATGCTCTCCACCACAGTCATGTCCTGTCTGTTCAAAAAAAGGACATTGGAAGAGAGACTGTCCTCATCTCCAGAGAGAGAGAGACAACAAAAACTCACTTCCCTGCTGAAGAGCAGGAACCAGAGGACTTAGCATGACAGGGCCCTGAGGCTGCTCTGGCTCCCTTTGACATCAAGATGACTGAGACCTGGTATTCTGGATATGAAAGGTAAGTTTTTCAATTTTCTTATTGATACAGGAGCCACTCATTCTGTTCTTATTTAGCACTCCAGTCTTGTTTTTCTAGCCATAAAATTGTTGACATAGCAGGAACAACTAAAATGTATTGCCAGACAATGCCTTTAACCTGTAGCTATAGAAACCAATTGATTACTCATATGTTTCTAGACCTTCCATCTTGTCCCACTCCATTACTTGTACGAGACTTAATGTATAAACTAGGAAGCAGGTTTGCTCTTACTAAAGAAGAGGATGGTTTGTTCTCTTTAACATCTGGAGAATTAAAACCTTACCCTGGTATCCCTTCTAGTATCTGGAAGGAAGTAAATCCACAGGTCTGGGATTGTGATGTCTTGGGATAGGCTCTTAAAGCCCAGCCAGTGAAAGTGACCTTAAAGGACCCAACCACTCTATGTCATAAAAAACAATATCCCTTATAACCTGAGGCAAGAGCTGGGTTACAACCACTTATTGATAAGTTTCTCAAACATGGTATTTTAAAGCCTTGTCAATCTCCTTATAACTCTCCAATTTTACCAGCAAAAAAAAGCCAATGGAGAATATTAGATGGTATAAGATTTAAGACCTATAAATGAGGCAGTGATGCCTATTCATCCCATAAAACTAAATCCATATACTGTACCCACCCAGGTTCCCTGGCATCCCCTAAGTGAAAGAAACACAGCCTATTTGCTTTTGAATGAGCCTCACCTTTAACCCTATGGGCTGCTCAGTTTAACCTCAATAGTCTTGCTGCAGAGATTTAGAGAGAATTCTCACCTGTTTGGGGCTGCACTTAGAAAAGACCTCTGTGCTATCTCCTTACCTCAGAGAACTATAACTCAGTATTTGGATGATATTTTAACCTGCACTCCTACAAAAGAAATGTCTGATAGTAATTCTATAACTTAACTTCTTGGTAGACAGAGGATATTGTGTCTCCCCGAAAAAGGCACAAATATCTAAACAAAAAATACAATATTAGGGGTATGGACTAATACCAGGCCCCTGTACCCTGTCTACTGACAAAAAGAAAAGAAAAGAAAGAAAAGAAAAGGCTCTATTAGATCTTGGACTCCCACCTACAACTATCCTAAGCGTGGCAAGTTTTTGCTACCTGTGGATTCCTGGATTTGGGCTCTTAGCCAAACCACTGCATGATTCAATTAAACACCCTGAAAAAGAACCTCTACTCTGGACTAAAACCCAGCAGACAGCCTTTCAAACATTAAAAGCTAAGCTCAATCAACCCCAGCTTTGTCTTTTCCAAATCTAGAAAAGACTTTCACTTTATGTGTCATAGAAAAACAGGAACAAGCTTTGGGAGTTCTTACCCAGAAATTAAGAAATGAGACAAGGTCAATGGGCTATTTTTCAAAGTCACTTGATAATAGAGCACAGGGGTGGCCAGCTTGTCTTCAGGCAGGGGCTACAATAGCCCTTCTGGTAGAAGAAGCTTCAAAACTTACTATGGGACAGTCCTTGACAGTGGTGATTCCATGTCAGGTCCAAAGTGTCTTAGAGACCAAAGACCACCAGTGGTTGACAGAGGGAAGCCAATTTACTAAATATCAGGCTATGCTTTTAGACACACCTGAAATAATACTTAAAACCTGTCAAACTTTAACCCAACTACCCTTATGCCTGGATCTGACCTATCAATCATACTTCTATGATCTAACATGAATGAGCAGAAATTATCAATCTTGTTTATTCTAGCAAACCAGATTTAAAAGATTCTTCTCTTGAAAACGCAGATGACAGTCGGTTTATGGATGGCAGTAGCTTTATGGATTAGGGAGAAAGGAAAGCCAGATATGCTATAGTTAGTTTAGCTAAGACCACTGAGGCAAAAAGCAAGCCTTCCAATAAATACTTCTGCTCAAAAGGCTGAATTAATAGAACTTACCCATGCTTTTCAATTGGAAAAGGCCTAAAAATTAATATTTATACAGACTCCAAATATGCTTCCCTGGTGCTACATGCCCATGGGGTAATTTAGAAGAAAGAGGGATATTTATTGAGCCATAACTCCCCAATCAACTATGGGCCTGGAATAATTACTCTTCTTGAGGTTGTACACCTACCTAAGGAAGTAGCTGTAATTCACCTCAGGATCTCAGGGGACATCAAAAGGGTATGACCTTAGAATCTAAAGGAAACAATTTGACAGACTGTGCAGCCAAGCAGGTAGAGCAAAATAAACAAATACTAAGTTTTACAATAGAGCCCGTAACTCCAGTCTATTCAGACCAAGAAATTCACATAACCCAGGAATGAGGATATTCCAAAAAATGCATAGGAATGTCTTGTTAATGAGAAAAAAATCTATACTGAAAAATAACCAATGAAAGATAACACAGGATTTACACCAGGCTACTCGTTTAGGCAAAGGTACTTTAGAACATTTAAATAAAAATATATTTGATGGAGTAAATTTAACAAACTACAGTAATACAAGTCTGCCTATCAGTATTGTGCACCAGTAAATCCAAAAGGCACGGTCTGTACACTCCACCCCATCCCTACTTTTAAAACCAGTCCAAAGGTGTGGTTCTTATCCAGGAGAGGACTGGCAGCTTGATTTCACACAAATGCCTCCTTGCAAAAGCTACAAGTTCCTACTAGTGTTTATTGATACTTTCACTGGTTGGATTGAGGCCTTTCCATGTAAGACTGAAAGAGCCAGAGAAGTAACCAAAGCTTTGTTGTGAGAAATCATTCCTTCAAAGTGACAATGGTCCTTCTTTTACTGCACAAATAACCCAGCAAATAGAACAAGCTTTAAAAAATGTAATATCTTTTACATTCAGCCTGGCATCCACAATCCTCTGAAAAAGCAGAAAAAGCAGATCATACTTTAAAATGGCACCTAACTACACTTAGGACTGAGCACTTTTGAATCATCCTATGGAAAACCATTTCTTACAGTGGATTTGTTATTGGACGAAGATTACAATACTTTATTGAATTACTCAAGGCTGGTTTAATTTATGTTACCTTATAAATATACTAATCATATAATCCCCAAACCTGATTTAACTATAACTAAAAATCCACCTCATGCAAGCCCCAGAGACACAGGTTATTTAAAAGATTGGAAGTCAGGGGCACCTGGGTGGCTTAGTTGGTTAAGTGGTTGTCTTTGGCTCAGGTCACGATCTTAGGGTCCTGGGATCAAGCCCCGCCTGGGGCTCCTTAATCAGTGGGAAGTCTGCTT